TGAGTAGTGACTATTTAATAATTTTTTTAAAATTAGATGTCTCATCAAATCGATTAAAATATGTATTTAAAATTTAACGATTTAATTATAGATGAATTGATATTTCATAAATTATAAAAATAAAATTATATAAATATAATATTTAATTTTATAAAATAAAAATAAAAATAAAACATCTATTTATATATTTTATTTTTTAAAGTGTATATAAAATCTAAATATAGTAATTTAGTTTAAATTTTAATAAAATATAATAATATATATATTAAATTTTTTGCATTTAGAGTAGAAAAATTTAAATTAATGTAAAATAAAATATAAAATATTATGATGTAGAAATTTTAAATTATAAATTATTAAATTATATCTTTAGAAGAAAATTATTAAAAATAATACATAACATAATATATTATAATTTAATTTTTTTATTAAAATTACCTCACAATTTCTTTTTTTCAATTTAGTACCTAACGTTAGTTTCCTTTGTTAAATGATGACGTGACAAACAGATTGCCACGTCATCACCCCATAGTGCCTGCCACATCATCCAAGGGACTGCCATGTGGACATGGTGATGATGTGGCAGTCGTCTGCCACGTCATAACTTGACAAAGGGGGACCAACGTCAGGTACTAAATTGAAGAAGAAAAAAAATTAGTCAGGTATTTAAAATAAAAAATAATAAATTAATAGGTAGTAATATGAAAACTGACCTAATTGGAGGTAGTAATCTGAAAAACCAACCTAATTGAAGGTAGTAATCTAAAAATAAACCTAATTGAAGGTAGTAATTTGAAAATTGTCACTGAAGGAAATCTATTTTGAGGCCACCATATTTCGATTGCATAAATTACACTGAGTGAAAGGAGCGTATACGAATATTCATACAATCTATCGACTTCAAACTTTTTATTTATTACATATGATGAAAACGTAAAAAAAAACAAGATTTGAAGTGAAAGTAGCTAGAATTCCGTCCAGAGGAGACTTGATTTAGCAAATAAATTTTTAGTACTTCCATATAAGTGAAAAATACAAAATGAAAAAAAAAATATAAATATAAAAAAGTTAAGTGAATATTTGTGGCATTAACTTTCCTATCTTACAAGTAAAACTTATAAGATTTGAAATTAAATTTTTATTTAAAAACTTATTATTAGTAAATATAAATATTACACACATATATATTATATATACTGAGTTTTAATATAATTCCATAATTTTCTTTTTTTATAATCAAGTGTAATAGTTTTCATACATGATCAATGAGAAACTAATTTATGTGCATTTGTTGCTTTTGTTTCTAGTTACATGTGTTTTATGTCTTTTTCATCTTATTAATTTTCACTTTTCTCCACTTCTTCATTGTCCACTATCTTTGTTGAAATTTTTGGTCAATTTTTTATGACAAACCAAAGTTTGAAGTCGATGGATTGTATGAATATTCGCATACGCTCCTTTCATTTAGTGTAATTTATGCAATCGAAATATGGTGGTTTCAAAATAGGTTGTCCTTTAGTGACAATTTTCAGATTATTACCTTCAATTAGGTCGATTTTTAGATTACTACCTTCAATTAGGTCAATTTTTCATATTACTACATCCAATTAGGTTGATTTTCAAATTACTACCTATGAATTTATTATTTTTTATTTTAAATACCTGACTAATTTTTTTTCTTTTCAATTTAGTACCTGACGTTGGTTTCCCTCAAAGCATCTACAATGGGGTTGCTTATAAGCAACCCCATGTGCCATATCACTACCACATCAGCTCTGGTCCATTTTATGGGTTGCTTAAATTTTAGCAAAATTGCTTATAGAAGCAACCTTGCTAAAATTTAAGCAACTCATAAAGTTGGCCAGAGCTGATGTGGCAGTGATGTGGCACATGGGGTTGCTTATAAGCAATCCCCATTGCAGATGCTCTCAGTCAAGTGATGACGTGGCAGACGGACTGCCACGTCATCACCCAACAGTGTTTGTCACATCATCACTATGTCCACGTGGCAGTCCCTTGGATGACGTGGCAGACACTGTTGGGTGAAGACGTGACAGTTCGTTTGCCACGTCATCTTTAATAGAGAAAACTAACGTAAGGTACTAAATTTAAAAAAAAAATTATCAAGTAATTTTAACAAAAAAAAATTAAAAAGTAGTAATCTGAAAATCGAGCTAATTCGAGGTAGTTTAAACATATTTAAGCCTAAAAATATATTAAAAAAACTTTAGAAAATAATTTTTTTTTAATAAGTCCGGTTCAACCAAATTTTCTGAATCAGTTCTTGATTGATTTTTTTTTTTACCAGTTTTGAATTCTTTCATCCAATTTTTGATCGATTCTTTTATATACCAGTTTTGTGATTTTTTCAAACTGTAAATTGTTTGATTCCTGATTCAATCTGATCCTAACAAAATAACTATTTATATACGAACCAAAACCTAGAAGGTAGAAAATTTTCTTTCGGAAAAACTCGCATTTGGTCGTGCAATTAGGCATTCAAAAGCACGAAAATTGTGTTTGATATGAAAAAACGTATTATTTGAATTATCTAAACAAATTAATACCGAATATGATAATTAATATATATATATATATATATATTATCTTTCAATTATATATATATTTTGTTTATATATGCATCCGAAAAATACACTATTTTTTAAAATCTTTTTATTATTAATTATAATGAAATATTTTTCAAAAAATAAACATGCCTGGAAAAGTTAGATCTAAATCTGACTTGAGCAAGGACAATAGCAATAGGGAAGAGGTTTGCCGTAGTATCTCTCTTTAGATTTTTAAATGGATCATACTTTACGCATCACTCATTTTATCACATTTTATAATTTAAATAACTATTTTTTCAATCGAATAATTTGTTTTCTTTTTATAACTTTGACACAGCTTAAATGGGTTCATTATTACATATTTCTTATATTTTTATCCTTTCAGTATATTTTATTTTTTACTATATTTATTTCTTATATATTTTAAAATCGGTTTAGTTAGAAAAAAGGGAGTTAAGAACTCTCGGTGCATCTACAACAAAATTGTTATATAGTGACACACACCCTATAGTGATACTATACATGTCACTAAAATTACTTTTACCCATATAATAACTACAATATATGTTGATATCTTATTAAAAAGTGTGGGTATAGACTATAGTGACACACAAAATATGTTGTTAAATCTCATTCAAAATCAACACTAAAATTGTGTGTAACTATATGTCAAATAAACATATACTTACATATATTGTATTTATAGTGACATTTTTTGTATGTCACTACATGTAACATTTCTTGTAGCGCAGATGCTTGTAACTTGGACTAGTAAAAATATAATATACATACTTCCTTATGTTCTTTGTATGATAAACAGTGGGTTTAATATATTTGATCTGAATTTTTTTTAAAAATTTTCAGCTAGGTTCCTAAGTTTAAGCAAACAAATTAGATCATTCATTTTATTTTTATTTTATATTTTTAGTAATTTAGTTCCTGTGGTTAGAAATTCATTTATAATATGTAAAATTTTACAAAATATTTTTAATATCTACATACTTGGATAATCATATCATATTATTATTCAATATTATTATCTATGTGTATCAAAATATTTTATGAAATCCTATAGATTATAAACAAATTTTTAACCTCAGGAATTAAATTACAATAAATAAAAAAATGAAGAACTTAATTACATTTTTTTTAATTTCGAAATCTAATTGAAAATTCTTAAAAAATTTAGGGATCAAATGAAGTATATGAAATCTAAAAAGTAATTGAGAAAGGGATTGATTTTAAGTTTCGCTTTCTTAATTACTTTGTTTTTACCATAAAAGAAGTGTAAAAATGCAATATAAAAGAAAATTTTGATGTAAGGAAAATTTATAGTCCTAATAACCCCTAAAAAACAATATAGGCAAGTAGTGAATGTTTCACTCTTTTTTAATTAAGATTACACTCCATTTATATATATATATTATATGGTACATTTTTACTATTTGAATACATGTGAATTAATTAACGTTATATATCTGATATTATATTATATAATTATTAATTTTTTTTCTCTTTTTTAATGCGTGCATCTTAAAAGTACTTTCCATAATCAAAAGAGATGTAAAACGCCGTCTCATGAGAATTTTACCGAAAATTATAGTATAAATTATAATATATGTCTAATATAACAAACAATAAAAATTGAAAAGACAAAAAAAAGGTTTTTATGAAGCATATCATCCCTTGTTTATCTCTCTCTTTGTTTTAGATCATGACCTCTATTTTTATTTATTTAAGTTTTTATCTCTCTTTTTCTTATTTGAAGTGACGAAGTTTATATGCGTCAGTGACGTCATATGTCAATCGATCATTTTATTCAAGAGAAAATATACTAACATGAATAGTAATAATAATAATCCAAAGATATGTATCATTTGCAGTTGTCTGCAGCTCCTGACATACAAGATATGCAAATAAAAAACACGTGACAAAGCAAGGGTTCTTTGGATTGGAGAGATAAACACACAAAAAAAAAAAATTTAATATCACATCATAATCCGAATTTAAAATATTAGGTTGATATTTTTTTTATTTATATATTACACAACATGTTAGAGTGACTAAATTAACTTCACCTTTGAATTCCAACCCTACAGTCCTTCTTCCCTTGGCCCATTGTCAGCGGTGGATCCCATTTATGACTCATCTGTTTCTTTTACTTAGGCAGGATACCGTGTTCCATCAGAAAAATTTATCCACGTACACTTAACGATAGATAGATATATACGCATAACGTATGTGCCATGCAACGCTAGCTAGTAGCTAGGGTACGAAAATAGTATTAAATTGTATTCGGGACAACGTGTCTGATGACAGCAAGGCTCTGCAGCACTGCATCAGTGACATTAAAGTTTCATTTACCATGCCCAACTGCCCCTCACCGGTTACTTTATTTTTTCCCCTATAAAACAACACTCTCTCCACATACTTCGCCACAAACCAAAGGAGAGTGCAATATTAATCACTCATTGTACATTCCTATTCCTAGTGCGTGACCATATATATGGCTAGGTGGTGTGTCATGGTGATGCTTCTTGCTCTGGCTGTGGCCACCAGTGCCAGAAATGTGCCCAACGATGCTGGTCTCAAGGACCAGAAAAACTTCATCGGCTATGGTGGTGTTGGTGGCTATTCTGGAGTTGGAGGCAACGGACTACCTTTTGGAGGAGTTGGTGCCGGAGTAGGTGGTGGTTTTGGTGGTGGACTTGGTGGTGGCCTTGGAGGAACCTCCGGGATAGGTGGAATCGGGGGATTCGGTGGTACCGGAGGTGGACTTGGTGGCGGTTCTGGTATTGGGGGTGGTGTTGGTGGCGGCGTTGGAACCGGCCTTGGTGGTGGCGGCACTGGTGTTCTTCCTTTCCCTTGAGTTCCATCAACGTACGTGTGTGCATGCATGCATGCATGGCTTCTTCACGTTTCTTTGGATTACCCTAGTCTTTCTTTTATTCGTCCAAGAAATAAGTGTGGCTTAATTTATGTAGGTGTCGTTAATCGTCCAGGCATTATTCTAGTTTCTTCCTTATATTTTCAAAGTAAAAAAAATAGTAGTACATCTTGTAGTGTGTACGCCTTTGTTTAGGTTTTGTGTCGAGTGTCAAGTGTCAAGCATAGCAGTCATATATACACGCGGTTCTTTTATGGAATATTCATATTTAGCTTGGAAGTAATGTAATCAATATATGAGTTCAATTTAATGCTAGCTACTTCCTTTTTGGGCGCACACACACTCTCTCTGTAGTGTATACTTGTTGGTTTCAAGATGGTATTTGGTAATTAATGATTTTTTTAAGAAAGATATATAAATATCTTTAAAAAGTTATTTTATTTAAAATGATCTTAAAAAATAAGCAATCTAAAGATATTTAAGCATTTTTTTTATAAATAAGTTGTATTAAATATTGTTTTGGGATAGAGGGCAAAGGACTAGCTACCATTACAAAACTTTACCTTTTTATATATTCAATCCCACTAGTACAAAAGAGGTAATCTATGTCGGTTATTTTAAGTTTTTTACGTCTGAAAAAAGTCGGACATTGCCAAGATCCCATGTAAAAAAGTTGTATACAAAAAAAAAACATAACGAATGCAAGCAGGGGTCGTTCTGCTTATAGAACAACCTAGAAGAAAAGGTCAACATCCCAAACAAATAGAACAACATAAAGACCGAATAAAACAAATAGCCACAATAGCAATGCGAAGCAAAAAGATGTTAGCGATTCATATATACCTGAGCTGCAACAGTATGCGAACGAGTAACGAAGAATTCACCCCACTCTGTAGAAGACATAAAAACGATTTAGCAACAAAGGAGAGGGAGAGGGTTTATACAGAGAAAAATCTAGAAAAGTGATGAGATCCGAGTGAGTGCGTGTGCCTCCCATGCACTCTTCTTATTCGCTCTCGCTACTTTTTTACGTCGAACTGGGTCCGACATAAAATTTAAAATCTACGTCGGTTGTATATTGTGTCTGACGTAAAAAAGTTCACAAAAATTACAAAAATATCACCGCATCTTTTTTAATTACTTCGATTTTTGTTAAGTCTGATGAGAAAGAAGTGACGTAAAATCACTAGTGTCCTAAAACATTAAACGAGTATAATTTAAACTATCTAATGTCATAACATTTTTTTATATGTATTGAGAAAAATGTCTCAAAGATTAATCTCTTATTTCTTGTCATGATCTTGTAAATGAAGGAGCTAGTATATATACTTATTATCCTTAATAATCATGTAAATCACAATATTTATGATTTTTTATCAAGCACCATCCGTGAATCTTAGAGTTATTCACCGCTTTGTGATTGGGAGCTTACTCATTTGCTGGCTGAAGGTCACTCTAGTAACACTTATACTTTGGTCAACTTCGTACCGGGAGTGCCAAGTAGGAGACTTGATCTTGACAATGAGAGTCCTATTGTTAATTAAGGGATTCAATTGACCGGAATCTCAAAGTTAGTGTTCGGTGTACTCCATCAAATGGAGATCAGAGTGATAGATAACCTTCCAGTCTCGATGAGCACTAAGGCGTTAAAGCCTAACTACTCACTGCACTCTATTAGGATGGAGGCCAGTATGGTACAAATATATAATAAAATAATGTTATTTTGGTAAAGATTTTCAATATATAAGTACTTACCAATAACAACTTTTTATTATATTTAATTAGTAATCTTAAGTTCAAACTTTTTAAATATATAATTATATTAAATATTAAAAGAAACTTTGTTATACTTAGTTATTAAAAATAAATTTTTAAAGAAGTTAAACAAAGGCGCATTTATAAAATTAAAGTGCATAAGTTGATTTTACTTTGTAAGTTTAGTTCTTTTTACCTCATTTTATTATGTTACAAGGGTTTGTTGAGAAGTATATTTAAAAAAGACCTAAATATTGCTTGACTTAAATATGTACACCTTATCAATTTTTTAATAAATAATTTATTTTAAAAAATATATAAATAAATATCAACTATGAATTATGAATATTTAAGTTATTTAAAACTTATCACATATCATATAACATAATATCATCCAAATATTTAGTCAAATTTTTGTATTCTATAAAATGTTAATGAATAGATTTAGTTTCTAAACATACATATACTTCTAGAATAAGATATTTTGTCTTCTTATACAGTTCTCTATTTAGAATTAAAGTTCTTGTATATAATAAACCTTTAATATTTTTTGATACATTTCTAAACCTTTAATATTTTGATCGGTCTAAACATTAATTAATATAAATCTTTATTACAAGTTTAACAAATAAAACTTTTATTTTAATAGAAGAATAACATAAAAAGATATTTCCTGCAAATAAACATAAAAACATCTCACAAACTGGTTTTAAGTTTTATTCTTTAAAAAGTATGATCAGAGGTAAAAATTAATTATTATGCACATGCATGTACTATAGATATATCCTTATTGTTTTAGCGCGTTTCCTATACATGCATCCTGCACAAAGACCTGAAAGTTAATAGGAGGCCACGTACTATATACATTAGCCTTATAGCTAGCCACATATTTTTATAATAGACATAGATATAGATGTATTAATTCATAGAGACAAATCAGAAAAAAGAAATTATAAAAGAGAACGAAAAATGTAGTACTGCAGCTTATGTGCATGTCATGGAACCATAATTAATTAATTTGGCCAAAAGTAAACAAACATTAAGATAAAACATTAGAAAGTTCCCTAAACACTACTAGATTTTAATTATTTAACAACATTTTATTGTTTACATTTATTAAAATATTACTATATATTATATAAATATGTTATTTTGTAACTTTTGAAAAATATCATTATAGATAGAGTAACATTTTGTATTGTAATAATATTCTTTTCAATTGTTTTCAAAATCAAAGTCTCATATTGAGTAAAAAAAATTTACATAAGTTGTTTTGCAACATTTTTTTTTAAAAATGTTACTATAATTGCTTCTAAAATCAAAGTCTCACATCGAGTAAAAAAAAATATATTTCTCTTATATCTAATTGTAACTCATAATTAAAATCCTACATCAAATAGATTAATAACTCATAAATAGTATATATACTCATATAGTTATATTTAAGATAAATAAAATTTGATATTGTATATATAATTAGTGGTGACTAACTAAAAATGTCTTTTTCTAAAAACTTAAGGAATTCCTAGAAATTTAGGAAACATAGAAATATAATAATTGATAGTAATATTTAAATTAAAATTAATTATTATTTTATAAGATTAACAAAATCTTGGCAACATCATTAAAATGTTACAAAAAATTATTAAAATATTATAAAAATACTATTTTGATAATATTTAAAAAATATTACCTAATTATGCAAAAATGTTACTAAAAGTCTTTAGCAACATAAACTGTATATAACATTTGATAATATGTTGCTAAAATAAATTAACAACATTTATACACAATTAAGTAACATTTTTCAAATGTTGCTAAATGCTATTTATCTTATAATGAAAATATATAGATAGAGGTGCCCATTGCATTACGCTACTAATAATCGAGCCATTGCAATGCCGCAGGTACAAAATACTGGATTATAATTCGGATTTGAAGGAGGGAATATTTTTCTCCTCCACATATGTAATTTCTAGCTATATATGGTCCCCATGAAGGAGTACGATCTTTGAGTAGGTGCATGTGGTCTGAGTAGTTCTTAAGTGAAGCAGAAGAGAGTAAATAATTAAAGTAAGATCATATATATATCGGTGTTAATACATTTAGATTTGCGAAATTCTCTTAGTAAAATAACGACATAGATAAATTCAAAACATTTTATTACAAACTAAATATCGAAGCTTTTGGACAGCTTTCTAATTCCTAGTGGCTGGTTAGTATTTACGAGGATGAGTGAGAGGTATAAAGTATTAACTAAAAATGACAGGGTTTGGTGAAGTTTTGAATGGAGTAGAAGAAGTTGGGGCAGATGGCGACACTCCATGTAATGTAGTATTTACTAGTGTCAGCTGAAAAGTTAATAGTAGCACATCAATTGAATGATATAATTCAATAAGAACCTGCTATGGCGTCAACGCTAGTTAATAACCCTCACCTACCTTCTATTCTATCATCTATTACAATATTTAACAAAAGCATGCTTCTATTATACTGGTTTTCGATGCATATGGATAAATAATAACTACCCAAAGTAAATGATGCATTGATATACACATCTTGACAAGAAGACATACACATATAGAAGAAAGAAAAGTATAAATATGATATATAATATAATATAATGGAATAAGAAGATAGATGAATGTTCTCAGGAAAAAAACATGGTTCAAGGAGATTTTAGTGATAGGATTTGTTTCATTACGTTTAATAAATACCACTTTCGATTTACACTAAGTTCTCACTTCAAATCCGTTGACATCTTAAAGTCATTTTATCTAAGTTATTTGTTTTTGATAGTTTTATCGAGTGCTTCAATGATAAATCCTAATCTGTTGTAGGAATACACTACAATACATACAAACAACAAAGTTAGCTACTTTTCTTTAGATACTTAATTTGTTTTTAGTTATTTAAATTTGAGGTGAATTTCTTAATGTCTTCAAATTTTTTTTAAATTGTCTATGTGATTTAAAAAAAAAAACTAGGTTTTTTTACTTAAATGTTGTTACTGTTTTAGATACATAATTGTTTTTTGAATTAATAACTTTTTTCATAAATTAATACAAGACTTTTTAACATGTTTTATTTTTGTAATATAAAATATTTTTTCAGAAAATTATCCATCCTAAATTACTTGTAAAATATGTTTAATTTCTTAAGCGATAAACTAAACATATCTTATTTATATAAATAGTGCTTATTAATACTTTTTAAATTATAGACCCACACATATACAACTCGGATATCTGAATTCTATATACTCGAGATAGATATAATAAATAATTAAATTTAAATATTTATTTGATATTTTTAAAATCATTACGACAAAGTCTCGATTTCAATGAACAAGTGAATATTTTATGTTAAATAACGTACGAGTACGTGGAATAGGTAATAAAGGAGAGTTTTTTCCTCAAATAATATTATTTTAAATTTTTTTTTACCTAAATAGTAATTGTGTAAATTTATTTTTCTAACTAGCATCATTTATTGTTCACGTTTAGAATAGACCGTTTTCAAACTAGAATGGGCCGTTCTAAATTAAAAAATAACACATGATGAATGGATCAGAATGGGTCGTTCCGGATTCAAAATTAGTACATAAAAAGTGGAACCAGAACAGACCGTTCTGAATCCAGAACAAGCCGTTTTGGCCTATAAATAAAAAAAATTTGTTCGATTTTCATTTATCAAATATCAAAATTCAGAAACTAACATCAAATAATTAAATTTATTATATATTAACATTATAAATATAATTAAATAAATTTATTAAAATTCAATACAACAATAAAGATCAGCGGTGGCAGAAACTGAATTCATGACCAATATTTAGATATGTCTTCCTAGTGTGACCAGGGGTGTGACCATGCGAGCAAGGGATATGAACTTTCTGGAACTTGCCGCAATCACACCACATTACATTTAGCCTTACTATAAATCTCTCAGCGGGTGATGCGAGCAAGAAATATGAATTTTTTGAAATTTTTCGCAATCATACCACATTTCATTTAGCCTTACTATAAATCTCCCAACAGGTCATGCGAGCAAGGGATATGAACTTTCTGGAACATGTTGCAATCATACCACATTTCATTTAGCCTTACTGTAAATCTCTCAGTAGGTCAAACTTCTCTCGGATGTTGCATTTTTTTCCCAACTTTGTGGCCAAATCCAGAACTCAAGAGAACTTTCAAGAGTCGCCCAAAGTTCAGGATTATAACAGACATGGACATTAGAGAACAACATAATCGTGTAAAAAATTGTTCATATTGTCACACCCCTGGTCACACTAGGAAGATATATCCATATATTGGTCATGAATTCAGTTTCCACCACCATTGATTTTTATTGTTGTAATGAGTTTTAATAAATTTATTTAGTTATATTTATAATGTTAAAATTCAATAAATTTAATCACTTGATGGTAGTCTCTGAGTTTTAGTATTTGATAAGTGAAAATTGAAAAAAAAATGGTATGAATCTATAGGCCAGAACGGCCCCGTTCCGGATTCAGAACGGCTCTTATGGTTTCACTTTTTGTGTGCTAATTTTGTATTTGGAACGGCCCATTCTGATCCATTAGCCATGTGTTATTTTTTAATCTGGAACGGCCCGTTCTGATTTTACAATGACCCGTTCTGAACGTGAACAGTAAATGGTGCTAGTTGGGGAAATAAATTTACACAGTTGCTATTTGGGTAATTTTTTTTTTTAAAAATAGTATTATTTGAGTAAAAAATTCAATAAAGTATCTATGTAAGTGCAATGGGGCTACACAGTATAGTTTTCGAGTTAATCACTCATATATTATGTGAATAATTTTTTTTTACATTGACAACCAATCGTATTTTTTAATAGTGTTATCTCATTTATTTATTTAATTAAATAAAAATAAAATAAAATAATTTAAAATATATGATTGTTAGTATAAAAAACTTTACATTAATAATGTATGAATGATTAACTCACAGTATTCTCTAGAATATAATTTTTGAGAATATAATTTTTAAATTTGTTCAAGTATAAAATAGTTTTTAATTTTTAAAATATGATATCACCACAGTTATTTTTTTTAATCCATTTATCCTCGAAGAAAAAAAATATGCCGATGCAAATTTCGTAAACTTAATCAAATCACATAGATAAATAAATTTAGGAACAAAGAATATGCAATTGATATTCACTCCTCTAGAATGAGAGAGTGTTCTCTAGATAATAAAATACATTCATAACCATTAATTAGAAAAACAATGATCGAAAAGGAAATCAATTACATATATAAGAAATAGATAAATACTATTTGTACAAAACAGTTTATAACGAAGAAAGAGAAAAATAAAATAAAATAAAAAGAAGTGTATGAGATGAGATGTAAAAATTACACATATATGTATAAAATATAAATGGAGAGTTGTTTGCGACAGACACACTTTTCCTTGACTTGTTGGGCCGGACAAATTAAAGTAGTTTCATTTTGAACTCATGGGCCATAAGGCCCAATGGATGGCTTTAACTTGTGCACAAAGGCAAGTAGCGAGTGCATATAATTTTTAATTATTCTAATATTTCCTCTCACATTCGCGAATTCGGAAATAAAAAATGGGGCAGGGAACACCGGGCGGTCTGAACCGGCAGGGTCTTCCGGGGGACCGGAAGCCGGACGGCGGCGACAAGAAGGAGAAGAAGTTTGAGCCGGCTGCGCCGCCGGCTCGCGTGGGGCGGAAGCAGCGGAAACAGAAGGGTCCGGAGGCGGCGGCGCGGCTGCCGACGGTGACGCCGCTGTCGAAGTGCAAGCTGCGGCTCTTGAAGCTGGAGCGAATAAAGGACTACCTGTTGATGGAGGAGGAGTTCGTGGCGAACCAGGAGCGGCTGAAGCCGCAGGAGGAGAAGGCTGAGGAAGACAGATCCAAGGTGGATGACCTTAGGGGTTCTCCCATGAGCGTTGGTAACCTCGAAGAACTCATCGACGAGAATCACGCTATTGTTTCGTCTTCGGTGGGGCCTGAGTACTACGTTGGTATCTTATCTTTCGTTGATAAGGATCAGCTAGAACCTGGATGCGCTATTTTGATGCACAACAAGGTAGCCCTTTATTCTTTCGTGGCCATTGGTTAAATTTTTTTTTGATCGAGTGCTATATGTTTGTGATGGATTTTTGCTCTAGGATCTAGGGTTTAGGCTTTAGAGATTAGATTGTGTGGTTCTGGTTGGCGAGAGTTAGTACAATTTTTTGTGTGGGTTTAGCTTTTGTGATAGAGGATTAAAGTTGGTTTGATCATTGAGTAGGTGGGGATTTTGGAATGATGTTTTGGTGTGTGTTGTAGTCTGGTGAAGAGAAATTTAGGTAAAGATCTTTCAACTGCATTTCTGAGCCTCGTATAATTGCATCCTTAATTGGGAGAAAACTTTTATGTTGCACTGATGAATAGTGAAAATAGGACTTGTTTAGGTGCATGTTTGAATTTTATCAACTTTTACGCAGAAGTTGTTTATTTTTCCCTTGAAATCTTTCTCGATCAGCTTTTGATTATAATTTATAAGCTGTTTTGGAAATATATAAAGTCAAGGTATACACTAGTTCAAGGTTTTTGTGTGCATAAGATTGGTCGTGTTTTTTATGTTGTTGTTGACAACCTGTTGGAAGATATATATTATGTGTTGCTGTTGTTTGGTGTACTCTGGGATTGCTTGTTTGGTGTATTCATATCTCATCGAAGAAGTGATAAACCTCATAACTGATTTGTTGAACAACACAACCTGGAAAGTGGTTGAGACCTTGAGAAAAAATTGTGAATAAAATATTTTTGTCAAACCATATGATTTTTGGAAACAAATGGATGTGGGGGTTGACATAATATGAATCCGTCATCTCTTGTAGATTTGATATGATTAGATGCAGGAAATGTAATGCTTGTCATCATGTATGGTACTTTTCAGGTTCTCTCTGTTGTTGGGCTTCTTCAAGATGAAGTCGACCCAATGGTCTCTGTCATGAAGGTTGAGAAGGCTCCTTTGGAATCATATGCTGACATTGGTGGCTTAGATGCCCAAATACAGGAAATTAAAGAAGCAGTTGAGCTTCCTCTGACACATCCTGAACTGTATGAAGACATTGGTATCAAGCCTCCTAAGGGAGTCATTTTATATGGAGAACCTGGAACTGGGAAGACGTTGCTTGCAAAGGTGTGCAGTTTTTTTGGGTTTCTTAAATGGTGTTGGAATATAATCTCAACATCCGTTCTATTTCTCATTTTCTCTGTTCAATAACACGAAGTTTGGAATTATTTTTCATGTCTACTTGCGCAAGAAGGGATTTGAATAATTATCTGGTTTACTTGGTTTGTGGATTGCAAAGTATTTTTTTAATGACTATCTGGAACATTGATCTATCATGCTACTATTTGGAAATTCTGCTATCTTTTATTAGTTTGCTGTTTGCTTTTGGAAACAACTAACAAAACCTGGGGTAATTTTTATCTGTTGAATAATCAGATTTGATGTTGTCCATGATCTTTACTAGAAATGCATTTTGATCAGTATGCAGTTATGATACACATTCCTAGTCCCATATCTCACCGTGTCAACTTTGTTTTTATTATTGTGAGTGGTGTACTACACACCACACAATCAGTTTGGTCTAATCCAGAGCCATGTTTACTTTCAGGCTGTGGCAAACTCAACATCAGCAACCTTTTTACGTGTTGTTGGTAGTGAATTAATACAAAAATACTTGGGTGATGGTCCAAAACTTGTTAGGGAACTATTCCGAGTTGCTGATGATCTTTCCCCATCCATTGTCTTCATTGATGAAATTGATGCTGTTGGTACAAAGAGGTAAGTTATTGAACATCAGTTTTAGGAGTCATTGTGTGTAAAGAATTTTCTGTCCTCTGTTTTAGATCTAGTTTTTTAATTTTTTTATTGTTTTATTGTTTTATTATTATTATTTTTTTATCAGTGATCATTGTGTGTTAAGATATCATCAATCAATTCTTAGTATATGTCTTTTTTTATGCCTTGCAGGTATGATGCCCACTCAGGTGGAGAACGTGAAATACAGAGGACTATGTTGGAGTTGCTGAACCAGTTAGATGGTTTTGATTCAAGAGGAGATGTAAAAGTGATTCTTGCAACCAACAGAATTGAAAGCCTTGATCCAGCTCTGCTGCGACCTGGTCGAATAGACAGGAAGATTGAATTTCCTCTCCCTGATATCAAAACAAGAAGACGCATTTTCCAGGTAGGCAGGACTAGTTTTGTGAAAACATGTTTTCAGTTTTAACTGTTTCACTGTTATGTCTTAATATGCATATTCTACTTAGTTATATGACTAAAAGGTCTTGTACTTCTGAAATTTAGATACACACATCAAGGATGACATTGGCTGACGATGTCAACTTAGAAGAATTTGTTATGACTAAGGATGAGTTCTCTGGAGCTGATATAAAGGCAATATGTACTGAAGCTGGCTTACTTGCTTTACGAGAACGCCGAATGAAGGTTAGAAGTATCTTCTATATATTTGTACAGTTTAAACATTGTGATCCGTAGGAAATATAGAATGGCACTCTGTTGCTGTTAGGAAATACAAAATATGTTTAGACAAGCTCATTTTAAGACCAAAATTCATATATTGAGATAACATAATATAGCATAGGCTGGTTGGGTATTATAAGTTTAGACATACCAAACTTTCTCTGCCTATATCAATGAAGAAAGTGGCAGGAAAAAATGGAGTTGAGATGTTGCAAATATTTGAGGAAATGGAACTGGAAAACAATCACTTCATAAACATATTCTCTTCAAATTTATAGAGAATGCCTGTGTTAAACAGAATGTTGGAGGGAGACTTTCTGTAATTTCCTTCCCCTGAACGTAGACTAGATATTAAGATTTTCTACTGTTTTCCTTGCAAGAACAGGGTTTCACAGAATTGAATCCGTCAATTTGCTTTTAATACTGGAGCACAATAGATGTGCCAATAAATGCAAAATGCAACATAATAAGAGGCCAAGTCAGCATTTTTTTAAAATTTAGAATCATGTGGTGAATGATTCCCTTGTGTTTTGGAGGCTCCGAGCCTACTATATGCACAATCTTTGTGTTTCATTGGTAACTTGAGCATTTGTTTAGACCCAATTGTGCTGTATTTTGAAGTGATTCCTATTTTACGGGTTGAGGTCTTCTGCTTGTTTATACTCAATTTTTTTACGTATTTTGTTTTGTTTTGTATCTTTTTGTGGAGGAGTGTCTTTTTCCTTTATCCTCCTTATCAAATGTTTTTATATCTTGCTCTTTAGGTGACGCATGCGGACTTTAAGAAGGCGAAGGATAAAGTTATGTTTAAGAAGAAAGAAGGGGTGCCAGAAGGACTGTATATGTGAAGCATCTTCATCATTTACCCCGGCCTTCTTTCTTTATCATGGTCTTTTTGTTGCCCTGTGAACGGATGTTTGTATTTTGGATTATGGTCGGTTGTGGGTTTAAATTATCACGGGATTTAATCTCAACTATAGTTACGCATAGTTTTCTTCGATTTAAAAAAAATTGGGAAAAATTTCCTGCCATTTCTTAATTATTTTCGATACTATGCATGCTTTTTCAGCCTATTATTGATGATGATGCAAGATTACGTAGAAATGGCTCAATCCAATCGAGTTATTTTAACAGGATCGAACTCCTGATGAGAGCGTGTTCATTTCCTTTGATTGACAAATCCAAACATAATACTGACCAATTGACTTTGAGATTATAGCAGATTGTAAAATATAGTTCCGCAATTTAAACTACTAATCACGGTGGTTATAGCCCCTATGTCCATCGTGTCTCGAGAATATGATAATGTCGATGGAATTGCAAAACAATTTATATGCTGCCTAAAGTGATTGCTCCACACAAGTCGTTATATTTTGTTGACGTGCGGAATCAAAAGTAAACCAAGTACAAGCAAAGCATAAACTTGTATCAAGACCCTTTAACAAGGGGAAAATGCCCCAGAACAAGTAGGTGCATCGCATTCAACAACTTAGGATGACATCAAAGTAACAATCACGAACTCAAAAGGCAATTGACATTGGTAGGCTCGCAAACATTAAAAGAACATGCATAACTAAATCATTATTTTCGGCATAAAAATCATTCCTAAATTACAATATTAGTTGTTTCAGTTTCACCTTATTTCTTTAGAGCAATAATAAGAAGATACCAAAAAAATTCCTGTTGTAAGCATCAAGGGAGGCACATGGTAATTTTCACTGGGTTGGAGAATTTTGAGTCGGTGGAGCATTTGTTGAGGAATTGCGTCGTGCTCGTGACCTTGCCCAAATCACTATTCGGCGTATTTGAATCACACCAACAAGCAGAAGCAAAAAAGCCCAAGTACCAACCAAAAGATAGCCCAGTTTACGAATCCTATAATAAATATGATTTGGACTTATCAAGCCCAATGCCCACATGTACGTTAGCAACATGCACGAAGCTGCAACGATCATCAAAAATGCCAAGGTCCACATTACCACCTTGTTCTCTAGCTGAAACCCGCTCATGATAAGCAGCATCACACAAAGAGACGCAAAGAAAGAAGAAGAGTTTAAGAAAACAAATTTTAGAAAATCTGGTGACCAAGCATAACCCACAACCGCTGTGCCTGCTTCACAGAAACCGAAGTTAGGGCAAGTATGGCCATCTTGTATTGTATCGCCTTGCCATACACCACCTGGTGGACTTATCACTGACTGAAAAGTCATGGTTGCAATCACAGTAGCTGCCACCATCAATTGTGAACGATCGATGTGGGTTAGTGAGGGTGCTGATACTCGTGGAGGATCATTATGGGTTACTAATGTTGCTGGTGCCCGTGGAGGATCATTGTTGGTCCGGGAGGGTGTTGATGTTTGTGTAGGATCATTGTGGGTTACTAAAGGATCTGGTTCTTGTGAAGAATCTAATGTTTGTGGAGGATTATTGTTGGTTTGCAAGGGTGCTGATGCTTGTGGAGAGTTTGATGTTTGTAGAGGATAATTGTTGGACTGGGAGGGTGTTGGTGTTTGTGTTGGATCAATGTTTGTTACAAAGGGTGTTGATTCTTGTGGAGAATCTGATGTTTGTGGATGATCATTGTTGGTCAGGGAGGGTGTTGATGTTTGTGCCTGATCATTGTTGGTTACTGAAGGTGTTGATTCTTGTGGAGAATCTGATGTTTGAGGAGGATCATTGTCGGTTAGGGAGAGTCCTGATGCTTGTGGAGGATCATTGTTGGTTAAGGAGGGTGTTGATTCTTGTGCTGGATCACAATTGGTTAGTGAAGGTATTGAATCTTGTGGGGAATCTGATGTTTGTAGAGGGTGGCTGTTGGTTAGTGAGCGTGATAATGTTTGTGAAAGATCATTGTTGGTTACGGAGGGTGTTGATGTTTGTGCAGAATCATTGTTAATTACTGAAGGTGCTGATGCTTGTGGAGAATCATTGTTGGTTAGTAAGGGTGCTAATGCTTGTGGAGAATTTGATGTTCCTGGAGGATCATTGTTGGGTAGGGAGGATTCTGATGTCTGTGGAGGATCAATGTTACTTAGGGAGGGTGCTGATATTTGTAGAGGATCATTGTTGGTTAGGGGGAATTCGGATGTTTGTGGAGGATCATTGTTCATGGTTAGGGAGAGTGTTGATGTTCGTGTAGGATCATTGTTGGTTAGTGAGGGTGCTAATGTCTGTGGAGCTTCACTGTTAGTTAGCGAGGGTGCTAATATTTGTGAAGGATCTGGTTGTTCAATTATAACAGTTATGCTTTGTGAGGAACTTGGTTGTTGTACTTGTCTATATGTTGATAAAGTCGTTTTCTGCCTACTAACCAAGGTTGATGAGGAAACTGGTTCTTTTGCTATAATTCCATTTGCAGGATTTCCATTTCCTTTAGCTAAAATGTGTTGACTCGTAAAACCTCTTTGATAGCACTCAAACACGTCGATGGCTGTCAAACCCTCCATATTCGAAGTATTTATTTCTGTACTAATTTCTGATAGTGAAAGCAAGTATTTGATGATCTGCAAAGTTACAGATATAATAAAAATATCAAATTATCTTATTGCATTCTTTTATAAAATTGGTGAATAATATGTAAATATGATTAACGGTGGATTAAGGAAATACGATTCAGACTATATAAGAATTTCCTGAGTGAGGCTCGAATAAACAGTACCTTGGTTTTCCCATGTTTGACTGCTAAATGCAAAAGAGAGTTACCCTCTCTGTCATTGAGTGATAGGAATTGATGGTCACCTCTCAGTGATTCCAGAAGCAACTTCAAGGCCTCCAAATGGTTATAGCGAACGCACAAATGCAAAACAGAACCATCATCAGTCTCGGTCATCTCACGAATGGAGTCAGGCTTGGCGTTGACCAACTCTTTGATGGCTCCCACGTGCCCTCTCATGGCAGCAAAGTGGAGAGGAAGCATGTCATCTTTGTCACGAGCCAAACACGTGTCAGGGTTTGTCCTCAACAACGTTTTCACAACCTCAGTGTGCCCTACAGCTGAAGCCAGATGAAGAGGGCAACGTCCTTCTGAGTCCATGTCACTTGCTAAATCGGGACTATTCTGAAGAAGAATCTCACACAACTCCAAATGTCCAAGTAAAGAAGCTATGTGTAGTGGGGTTTCAGTGAAGCGACAGAGTGAAACTCTCTTTAGAATAAGAGGGTATTTTTTTATCAGTGTGTTTAAGCTACTCACACATCCATTTGATGATGCTTCGTAGAGTTCTCTCATTGCATCTTCGTGTGGTTTTTCATCTCCCAAAATCTCCATTGAAGGAATGTTGTTAGTCAACCAGTATGTTGATGTTCTTGGTCTCTCAGGTTAATAATATATATGTAATGAATGAGATAATGGAAGAAAAAGACAACAAGAAGAGAACCGAGCTTCCTCGAGCATTGTATGATGGCATATACAATGCTTTGAATGATTAAATAATTAAGCAAAAAAAGAAAAAACATTGTTAATGATGTGTATAATTGGAGTATTTGTTTGTAAACACCGAACTTGCCAGCTGATTATTTTATTTTATCGTGCTACATGCTTGAACACAACATGGTTGCATGATGTGGTTACTTTTGGCCTTTAATTGATCTACAAATTATAATCCAGCAATATATATTTAGTGGATCCTAATTACCTGTTGTCTCTACTGTGTTCTTTTTTCTCAAATGGAAAAATGATATATGAACAAAATTGAAACCAATAAACAAGAGAGAAAGAGCGTTACCATTTTTGAGTAACATTTTTTTAATCTAAGGGAGGACAAAAGTAACAGGAAATGAGAGACTGGTAATTTCATTCTTATATTTGACTTGCTCACGGGCCGTTTGAACATTGTGTTATAGAGTGGTTGAGACATAATTCAATTGCTGCGCTGGATTGGGCCACGTGGCTCCTTATTTATTTATTTATTAGAGTTCCGGAATCATGCTTTGCATAGAAGGTCTTTTATTCACACTCCTTTTATCCAATTTTCATATCGATTTTTCTAGAATGTCTTTCACTAAATTATTATTCTGTTGCTTGAAAATTCAGCTCAATATTTGGATATGATATTGGTCACTATCATAAACTTTTTCTCCCTTTCTTAAATCACTATGTTTGGTAATAGATGTTTGCTCAAAATATGACTTTATTAAGAAGCTTTAAAAACAAAAAACTTTTCGAAATAAATTCAAGCATACGCTAAAAGATGCCCGACTAAAAGAATAACAAGTTGCAAAACTTAAATAATTATACAGGTTCGTTCTAATAAACTTTTCATAAACACTTGTAAGAGAACAAAAATAAAAAGAAAAATAAAACAATTTCTTTTATAAATTAAAATTAGTTTATAAATAAATTAAAAATATAATTTGAAAAAGTTAATATAATTTTTTTTTATAAATTAACTTATCCATAAACTAATTTTATCTTTTTACAAGTTTATTTAATTTTCTTTTTTATTTTCTTCTTCTCTAAATAATGATGGAAAAATTTATCCAAAAAGAACTGTATTTTCTATGACAGTAACATAAAACTTTTTATAATACTCTGTTTTATCAGTTGAGCTAATTAACCCTCACTTCTAATATGCTTAGACTTTAATTCATTGACAATCGTCTACAAAAAGTAATTTGCATTTCACATTTTCACATAATCTCAATACAGATTCAATAAAGAAGAATATTTCTCATGTAAATACTTTAAAGAATGTTAAAAATATTATTGCTAACATACTATTTTTCAGAAAAAGGAATTAGAATACAAGTCCAAATAATTTAGTGAGACAGATATGAAGTAAACCAAATAATAAAAAGCATATTAAAAGAGTGTATTATAAATATCCCTCAAATATTTTTCTCTTTTCAAATTCAACAATAATAGTATATATATTTTTTAAAAATAAAGTATTTTTTCACTACCAGATATTCCAGCATTTCAAGATGGACTAGCCGAGAACTTGATCTGAAATGCGTTCGGCCTCCAAAATTGTGGGTTAGGCACATTAAAGATTGCCTCTAGGTCTAGGGCTCTAGCCGAAGGCTCAAAATATATTTGAATAAATTTATCTATAAATATTTATAACAAAATAAAATAAATTTATCTGTATATTAAATTTAATTTATGTATGTAAAATTTTTTATATTAGTTTTTTAAAATTAATTTTTAATTAAAATCCCTAATTTTAAATGATAAAAAAATTATTTTCTTTTTCTTTTTATTTTTATACTAACAAAGAAATTTATTGAAACACATTTTTTAATGACACGTAGGTTGAGCCCTAGCTTCAAAATCATGGACTGAGTGCACCAAAGATGCTAACACCAGCAGAAGTAGAATATCTTTTATTCCTTACTCATCTTTATCTACATTGAAAATTCAATAAACTAGTTATTTATTGTCCCTTTCAACTCTTCCTCTAACTAGATCCTCCTAGCCCAATAAAAGGACCCTATTTCTTAGCTCATCCCTGGCCTTAATTTGTTTTCATCACTGTCCTTTTCATTCATTGTGAGAGCCCCATCGCAGACCCAATTCCAATAGCCCTTTTTGTCGCATTGACTTTTGAGTATTCTATCTCTTGTATTTGTTCTTTAATCTCAGGTTTGGGCATGGGGTTGATTGAGTTGGAAAAGACACGTTTGTGTTATTTTAGTGGTGGGAAGTAGCGATGGATGTAGGGTTTGTGGCAGTGGTTTGTGTTGGGGTGTTGCAAGTGCGACAATTTGGGTTTGCAGTCGTGAATGATTTAGTGTTGTTTGGACGTGGTTTAGGTGTGACAAGTTATGGTGGTTTCGGTGTTAGCATCGACCTTTTTATTCTAGTGGCAGTGAAACAGATGTTCTATAATTTGTCACAACTTCCACTTTAGCATTCACTACTGACTGTTCTTTTTAGTGCATGTTTGTTTTATCATTTAGAAAAGCTAAACGCACTTTCAACTCAATCCATCCACACTCATATTTTTTTATTTGAGTGCATGAAAATGTATGTAGATGAGTATTCAAACACACCCTTAGTCCATTGCAAAATGTCCTTGCAACTTCCACTTTAGAATACCCGGCACCCGCCACACATCATAAACATGAAACCATGCACTACTATAAAATAAAAAATACAAGTTACACGTTAATAGCCATAAATTTTAATCAAATGGTAAGAACCCCACAATCTGGTGTACACATTTTGTTATGAGTAGTGGAACTATAATTTTTCATTTTTATTTAAATTTCCCTACTGTAATTGACTAAACACCGTACATTGTAACAATAGACTGCTTCATGTGGATCAAGAACTGCTTCTCACTCCATAAACAATAGCGATCAAGTTCAAAGGCTGCTATATCACATAATAGGAGAAAATTGATAGTAAATGAAGAACAGAACAAGAATCTGAAGCAGGAATAGGACTAGACGTACGAAGCTGTCAGATGGGGGCCTCCACGTTTGGTGTAGAAAGGACGTTCTTCTATTTTGTGCCATCTATCGAGTTCCTCTTCGGTTCTTCTCATATCAAAGAGTCTCGAAAGTGAATTTATAAGATGGAAAAAAAAAGGATGATAAAATAGAGAGAAAACTTGGTTGCAATAATTTACATGTTAGCTGTGTATAGATTAGCTTGTTACTGAGAACAGCTAAAAAGTTCGTTCTCTTAAACACTACAAAATTTTGCAGCTGTAGTATAGGTGCCGGAAAATCTAACCTGCAGTGCACACGTGACACGGTCCATTGTTAATGACGATTATCCTTGTTTTGTTCAATATAATGTATTCAGGACTTGCAATGCACACTACCATTGTGAGTGCTAGAGGTAAAAGCTATACAATTATATGCCGCATCATTTGAATAGTCAGTCCTTCATTGTAACTATCAAAGAATCATTTTTCTCCTGACTGTAAAAAAAATTGAAACTTAGATGTAGCCATATTTGCTTTTTATATTCAGAAAGAATCAGTAGAATTTTTATGCGCAGAAGCATCTGGAAATTAGCATGCTCTAGAAGCTTATGACACAAGAACACAGTAAGCACAACTTAAAATCATTAAGACCCAGAATGCATGATAAACTATTATTTCCACCAAAAGTAACAGTCTTGTAGAATACTAAGATAAAGTAATTCACCTGACTAATTAATGGCTTTCTGGATTCTCAAGGCCCTTACTGGTACTTGGCTTGCTAACATTTGGTTGATTCATTGCCTGATTCAACACACAGAAATGGACCTCATAAACGTTCATATCTTTTTGCTCAATTAAATAATAAAAAAGATAAGCAACTTCGCAAAACTTGAGTTTTCTTTACCGTTGTTTGAGAGATTTTTTCCTCCCAATTAAGAGTGCGTTAAAAGTAAAACAGAATTAAAATCTGAGGAATCACGAACACAACGTAAAGTTTAACACAATATAAAGGGAAACTTTTGGTCTATTTTTTATGTGTCATGTGTACCAGAACATTATTCCCAGTGATCGCCAAAAGGGTATTACAAGATGCAACGAAGTAAAATAATTTATGTGGTCGATGCAGGAAATCTAGTAGATGTCACGTGCAACAAGTTACTTCATGCATTGCTTAAAAAAATCCAAATCAGAAATAAAATTAGAGGACAACGTACCTGATTTAATTGAAACTGCATCTGGTGGGGACCAAGATATTGTTGATAAGGATCAGTGATGTTTGGGATACGTGACTGATTTGGATCAGGTGGACCAGCTGAGGTGACCATATTATTATCTGTCTTTGCTGCTTGCATTCTAGACGAATCAGGTGCAGGAACATGCGGCATGTGGAAAGGAGGCATGGCAAACCTAGGTCCCAAATGAGTAGCAGCAGTTGCTGCTGGCATAGCCGAACCAGGTAACATATTAGGAAACGGTATAACTGGTCTGTTCATTCCCATTTCCATACCCATACCCATTCCAACCCCCATTCCAATTGCTGGCATGTACTGCTGGATTCCAGGAAACATCATAGGTACCATGCCACATCCCATGGACATCATCTGCATAAGTAGCACTGTTTTAGTAAGAAATGAAAGTATTCGACCACAGAATGTAAATAACTCGACACACTCGATAGTATATGGCCATTCTAATACATGTCTACACAATAAATAATATTAAAATCCTTCATCTAAATAACACAAGGTACAATACAGCATCTGTAGCCCTGTCGACCTCCTCCTCTCAATTGAAAAGTTATTATTATTTTTCCATCCTTAGATTTCCCTAGTCCCTCTTAACATTCCTCCTAAAATCTTGTTAAAGCTTAAAAGTTTGGAAATGTTGGATGCAGATAAACTATCCGTATGTAGATTTCTTCTGTAATGTTCTAGCACTGGAAGATGGTGCATGCTTAGCAAAATATTTATTAAAGGCAGTTTAGCCGAAGAAATTTATTAACACAGAATACAGCATACGTGGAAATGAATTTATATAACAAACTACGTGTACAAAAAGTGAAGAATCTGTTCAAAAAATTAAAGAAAAACGAAGAATCTACCTGCACTTGTAACTGCAATGACTTCAAGTATGAAATTGCTTCATCCAGCATTGAAGCTTTATCTGACTACGAATTCAGAATAGGAACCAAGATTAGAAACAAACATTATGAAGGAAATAAAATCTAAGATCCCGCCCTTTACATTCTTAAGAAGTAAAGAAGTTAGAAATTCAAAAAGTCAGTTTACCTTATTACAACGAGGTATAAGTTCTTGCAGAGCTTTCATCTTTTCATTAATCCGATCGCGACGCCTCTGTATGCAAATGCCAAATGAAAACTTATTTGTTCTTCTAAGAAAAAAAAAGGATATAAAAGATGTGAACTCAAAAAGTAGATGAAAGTACAGACCCTCTCAGAGAGATTATGGACCTCTGCGGCACGTGATCTCTTTGTAGACGTTGATCCACGAGCTTGTTTCTTTGCTTCCGATTCAAAATCAACATCCTTTATTTCCAGCAAGACAAAATGAAATAAGAATATACAAGAAGAAAAATAGTGAAAATTCAAATAAAATGCAGAATATCAATGAGAGAACAAAATTGCTATTGAACTATTGACCTGTCTCGTGCATGATATGCCAACTTTTATCAGAAACAAGGGAAATTTGCCAATATAAAAGTTACCACTATTTTTTTTTTCTCACCCAACCACACAAATTAACCATTAGTTATATTACAAGTATGTGCTGCCCAGATGAGGTCCAAAGCTAATAAAGAAATTAAGTTGTAAATCAACATATCACAACATTCTCGTGTCTTCTCCTCAAATAGTAAAATAAAATAAAAAGTAAAACACTTATTTTCTATTAATCTATGTATGTATAGTTGTACACAGGCATCTAGTTATTAACATTATTTACCCACTTTGTGGTTCCCATGTTTGGCCAAGACTACAATGTCCAAATTGATTTCAGTTTTCAGTTCGGAATCTAGCAATTATCAAGAACTTACCTGCATTATACACAATATTCAGCAATTATAACCTTTAAACCTACTCTTTTTCTGATACAGTGAGAAGCATCACCACTACCTAAATCTCTTCCTGCTTATACTCTTCAACGAAGTACAACTAGCCAACCTTTTGGCCCAATCTTTTGACCCGGGATATCATGTTGGAAAAAATAGTAAACATTAGCCTCATTATTCCACATGAAAGAAATCAGAACACGATTCTTGTTTTAGACATTCATGGGTAATAAATGAGTAACCATCTCACACCATCAGGACAAACCATGTATATCAATATCATTTCAAGTTGATAACCTGATATGTATATCAGCTTAGCTAATAGTAATAGCTGCATCTGTTATATTTGGATTACTCTAATCAAACTTATATTTTCCGATCACAAAATCATCCATACGTAGGTGTGGTCGTTCTGCCTAGTTGAGCTGTAACTTCTATGAAATCAAATGAGAGAAAGAGCGTGAAAATGTCTCGCCAGCACAAACCATGTATATCAATATCATTTCTAAATATCTGATTTTATTTTGCATATCTTTTCCGTGTAACATATTAGGCATACAGAGATGAGAGAACTTTAGATCAGCATATAAATGGCTCACATTCAGCATCATGGCAGCTTATTTTCTTTGCGTATTTTGAGAACCAAGCTTATGCAGGTATCATAATGGCCTTGCCAAGTTGCCATCAAACAGACAAGCAAACCTCGTCAAAGTCAATTCCTATGGTCAAAACCCTTCTCCAAACTACAAATTCACAATTCAGCATAGGTCTATGCCAAAACCAATTCTAATCTGGTTCAAGCCTACCAGACACTTCTTTTTTACTATAAATTAAACCTTTGACATCTACCGATTCTACTTGCATCAAAAATACCTTACATCTACTCAAGTTTCACCCTAGTCATATACCCGAGTGGTAAAGTCACAAAGTGAGCTAACATAAAGTTAAAAGTAAATGCTTATTTTTGTATTATTTTTAAATTTGAAACTTCAACTGCTGTGAGACAGGCAATTGGTGCCATAAACATTTGTCAATTGCAAGACAAGCAGTACGTCTCCTTACCAAGTTAGTAGCATAACATATCTGGATAATGGTTTACCACACACATCAAACCCCAATTTTAATATGAACATGATTTTTGTTAGAAATAGCATTCATATAACTTCTATATAGAAAAACATGGTTAAATTGCATTTTTGTCCCTCTATTTTGATTAATATGTAATTTCGATCTCAATACTTTAAAATAGAAATATATTTTTTTTGATAAACCAAATAATTGAAAATAAAAAGAAGTACAAGAGGTACTCCAACTCATTATAAAAATACCACATGTGATATGTGTACTATGCACCACTAAAAATATTATTCCAAAACGAGGGACCTAAGTTAGTCCATCACATCCAACCCACAACTTTGAAATAGAAATTTATTTTTTTTGATAATCCAAACAATTGAAAATAAAAGGAAGTACAAGGAGTACTCTAACCCATTACAAAAATACCACATGTGATATGTGTACTATGCACCACTAAAAATATTATTCCAAAACTAGGAACCTAAACTAGTCCATCACATCAAACCCACAACTTTGAAATAGAAATATTTAGTTCCTCCAATTTTTAAAATACAAAATTTTGGTGACAAATTGACATTTATTTATTGTTAAAATTTAACATTTATTCATATTTAAGTAATATGATATTTAGTAAAATGAAATTTGATTATTAAAAATTAAAAAATTAAAAAAAAATAAATATTAATCACTTATTAGAATATATAAAAATAAAGATCTTTTTATATGTTATTTTTAAATTTTATCTTTACGTATCACTCTTGAATATCATATCAGTTAATCAAAGTGTAATTAAATTTAAAAAATTATTGTGTATAACCTATTTTCTCTTATGAAAAATTATTAAAAATGTGTACACTATTAATTACAGTAATGATTAAAAATCATATAATTTTGTCATAATTAGTTTAAGGAATTTATTTTTTACGCTTTATTAATATAAATTCTTTTCATTACTATGAGATTACTCATAATATATTATTATTAAATATAATAATAATTTATGATCAGATGTCAATATAAAAACAATACATTATAAACCTATTTAAATTAAATTGTATTTTAAAATATCCTCCAACATGTTGGACGAACACAATACACGTGTCGCGGAGTGCGCAGACGCGGCGGTGAAAGTGACGATACCAAAAGCGCACACGGCCACAGCACAGAAATCCAAAAGTTAATGTTCAATGCAGAAGCGAGCAGCGCGGGGGTGATCACGTAAACCCACGTCACTCACCCGCGCACGATAGCAAAGACCAACGCATAGCCAATGTGCAACCGTGATGTGATGTGATGTGAGAGACAACGAAACGACGGTGATTCAAAATCAATCCACTTACCTCGCTCTGACACTCCCATTCCTCCGCCGCCGCCTCCCGGCCCTTCCGCTTCCGCTCCTCCGCCGCCGCCACCTGAACCGGTTCGCCGCTGCTACTCGAACCGCCCGACGTCGTCATCGTCACGTCGCACATCATCGTCGAAGGCGCCGCGACGCCGCCGGCTCCTTCCGCCGCGCTGGAAACTCTCGAAGCCGCGGCCGCCGTGTCGCACGAATCCACGACCGTGGATTCCCTCGCGGCGGTCTTCACGCTGGGCTCGGCTCTCGCACTGTGCCTGGAGAAGTACGCGAAGTTCTGCGTCTCCGGGTCCGGCCTCCTCGGCGGCGGAATCGGAGGCCGAGGAGACGGCGGGGGGCGGAGGTCGGTGAGGTGAGACGAAGGGCCTAGGGTTTGCATGGCGGTGTTGTTGTTAACGGTGGGCGGCGAGTGGAGGAAATCGGCGCAGAAGGTTTGGTCGAACTCGAAGGGAGGATGAACGTCGTCGATTGGATAGTGAAGCCAGGACGGCATTTGGCCTTCTTGCATGAAGAGGTGTGGATTGTAGTTTTGGAGCGGTGGTTTCCGGAGAGAACGGTGGTTCTGGCTGTGCATGACGACCTGGCCGTTTTGCCATAGGAGCTCCATGATTTGGTCATCTGCACTGTTTGAATTTTGATGATTAAAATAATTAAATGAGAGAAAGAGAAAAAAGAAATGGATGAAGAGTGAAGTTACATGGAGATGGAGGGTTTGTTTTGGCGAGGTAGGCCTGAAGGCTTGAGAGTTGGATCGTCTTCCATTGGGAGATGGAAAGAGCGGAAAAGATGAGATGATAATATTTATAGATATATGAAGAAGAAGAAGGAAGGGAAAGTCGGTTGGGGATGGTAGCACTAGCACTAGCAGGTGTTTCTGTTGGAACTTGGAACAAAGACAGAGCAGCCACAATTCACAAATACCACAGATAACCTCTCTCTCTCTCTCTCCCTTCCAATAATGCCACTAACCTTTTTCACATTCACATTCACTTCTCCTTCTTTTCTTTTCTTTTCTTTTTCTCCTCCTTTTTACATAAAATACTTTTTATTTTCTTATAAATATTAACGTATCATCAATCCCTTTTACATTTACAATCATCAATCTATAAATAATTAAAAAACATGGAAGACTTTCTAAATCTTTATATGGGTACATTTTCTAGCAAGTACATCTTAAATTAATTGAACACTCAAATTTTCATCCTATTATTATTATTATTTTTAATTATATTTCACACTTATTTTACTAATAAAATAAAATAAAATTCACGCGAATTAAAAAAAAAAGAGGTTAATATCATTTTACTATACAAATTTCATTCAAAAGTTAATCTAATTTCTTAAATTATCATTTCTTGAAATTTAAGAACAAAATTAATTATTAATAAAATAATATTTTAGAAATGGTAATATTAAATAAGATAAATTTAATTAAAATTAACTTATATTTAAAACTAATAAACATAAAATTTATTTTTACAATATCACTTATTATTTCAATGTACATTAAGATTATTTCTTAATCAAGTATTTAATAATTAAAAATTAGTCTCTTTTAAAATAAATAAATAAATATATATATATATTATATCAATTTTTCTATAAAAATAAGATATCAAATTATATTAAATTATTTTTATAGAAAAATTGATAATATATATATATATATATGATTTATAGATAAAAGAATTTCAATCTAAAAATAAATTTTAAGAAATATATATTTAATTAAAAATTATGAAATAATATAATAACTAATAAAAATTATATTAATATCGTTTTAACCTTATTTATATATAGATATACTATTTTAACAAAACATATATTTTTTATTATAAACTTTCGTGTTTACAAAATAATTTAATTTATTTCTATTAGTGGTGTCTTTTGTCTAATGATTTTCTCTCTTTTTCTTCTCAGTTCAATGATACTACTATCATAGTACAGTGTAAAAGTTTGATGATTAATAATTGATTACGTATACTTTTTACTTCAACCATTGAATGAAGAATATGCCAAGCCAACTCAGCCATTACTTTTGAACAAAATATCATACTATAATAGTACTTAATAGAATCGGAAGACACTTCTTTGTGATTTTTTGTGCTAAACTAAGGAAAAAGTATCTTCTTAATACTACTAAATTAACACTATATGTTAACAGGTCAGATTGTCACCTACAGAGGGAAAACTCACATAATTGAAATCCATTTTAAAAGAGCTCTAATGGTGACTAACAGGTTTTCTCTTGTTTTTCACAGTTTTTCAAGTTTGGTCTCACAATCCTTTTGAGTCATAATTCCTCAATAAGTATATAACATTATAATTCTCCGATCTCCATGATTGTAAAGGATTCAACTCCTCTAAAATCCGCCGCTATTGAAAAGAAGAAAGTAAAGAAAAATTTATAATATTTTCTTATTTATATATTACGAGAAAAATGAGAACAAATTATATGAAATAATCAAAAAATATTTATTTATTTATTTTCTTTTTCCAATTTCTCATAATATGTACGAGTAATATGGAGAATTATCCGGTATATATA